AAACGAAATCTATGTAAATAGGGAAGGGTGGAGGGGGTGAAGGGCGCAAAGGGAATGGGGAAAAAATAACCAAGATACATCATGTACAGGTACAAACAGCCAATGATAAATGTAAACGTATTGTGTACCTAAAATGTACCAATAAAAGAATTTAAGCAAAAACAAACAAAAAAAGTGAAATGCTAACTCTTGGGCCCCTCATGGACCCATTGAATTAAACTCTGGGGTGGGCTTGGAAATCTGTCCTTCAGTAAATCTTCCAGGAGATTATGATAAATTCTGTAAGAACTGCTCTGATCATGTTAGAGAGGTACTTAGTAACCTAAAAGCAGATCTTCAAGAGGCTGAGATAAGAGGATTGCTTGAGCCCAGGAGTTCAAGACCAACCTGGGCAGTACAGTGGGACCCTGTCTCAGAACAACCAGATCTGGTTACTGGAATTCCACTGAACTTCTAAGAAAATTCAGTTAATTTTACAGAAAACAAGTCTCAAATATGGTATTGCTTTTTCGTTTCCCTAGATTCTCTGTGTATGTACTTAAGAGTTCTTAAAAATTCAATGTTGTTTTAATGAACATACCTTAAAATGCCCTTCTTTTAAGTTACCAATGTGTATACTCACTCGATACTCATGACACTCAGGAGATGAAACATCATTACCTCACAAGGGCTTCTCCAAACTCAGGACTCCCAGAACCAGCTAGACATGGTCTCTTTAAAATTTTTTTTGCCGGTTAGATATGATTTCTTATAAATCATGTTCGATCCCCATTACCAAAATAAATAAATTAAACCATGCAGTGGCTTCATGTTGCTGCATATAACAGTAGTTCCTGTTTTCTGCCTGTGTTTCATCAGATTTGTTTATTCCTAGTGGACACTGGGATTGTTTCTAGTTTTTTTATATGAATAAATTGCCATGAACATTCCTGTGTTCATCTTTGTGTGCTCATATGTTTTCATTTTTCTTGGATTAATATGAATGGAATTGATAGATTGAGTGGTAAATGTATACTTCACCTGACACTGCTAAACTAATTTTTCCAAAGAAATTGTATCAAGAAGCTGGACATGGTGGCACACACCTGTAATCAGAGTACTCGGGAGGCTGAGGCAGGAGGATTGATGCAAGTTCGAAGCCAGCCTAAACTAAATAGTGAATTCAAGGCCAGCCTGAACTACATAGCAAGATCCTGTCTCAAAAAAACCAGAAAAATAAAAAATAAAAATTGTATCATATTACATTCCACAATGTATGAGTGCTCTAGTTGCTCCATATACTGACCCAACTGTTGGAATTGTACAATAAAATTGTTAATTTTTAAATCATCATAAAATTAAGCAACAGTTTCTCAGTATACAAAATCATCAATCATAAAAGAAACATTAAGCCTGGGCACCTTAGGAAGATCCTATCTCAAAACAAAATAGTTTGGAGCCTGGCGTGGTGCTGTACACCTGTGATCCTAGCACTCAGAAGGCTGAGGAAGGAGGATTGCTGTGAGTTCAAGGCCAGTCTGGGCTACTAGTGAGTTCAGGACCAGCCTGAATTACAAAGGGAGACCCTGCCTCAAAAAACAAACAAACAAAAAGAATAAAGAAAATAGTTTGAGAGTGTAGCTCAGTGGTAGAGTTTGTGCCTAGCATGCATGAGCCCCTGGGTTTAATCCCCAGCACTCCAAAAACACAACAAAAATAAATTGCCAGGTGTGGTGGGGAACGCCTGTAGTCCTAGAGGCAGGAGTATCGCCAGGAGTTAGTTCAGGCCCAGCTTGGGCTACATAACAAGACCCTGTCTAAAAAAACCAAACAGGACCGGGGATTTAGCTCAGTGGCACCCTACCTGTCTCAAAAGTGCAAGGTCCTGAGTTCGATCCTGGTATGGGGGGGGATTAAAACTGGATTTCAAGCCAAGCATTGTGATACACACCTATAATCCCAGAAGTGGAGGCAGGAGGATTAAGAGTTTGGGCCCAGACTGGCTGGTTTAGCAATTTAGTGAGACTTTGTCTCAAAAAACATAAAAAACTGGGGATGTGGTTCAGTGTCAAGGCCCTAGGTTCAATCCCCAGTACTGTAAAACACACACACACACACACACACACACACACACACACACAATTGCAAGGAGATACATACGTATGTTGTAGAATGGCTAAAATTTAACTTCTGCCCTGTGTGCTGTGCCTGTACTTTTTGGTTGATAAGTAGTTAGATTACTTTAAAACTCAAAACACTAATCCTCTCTTCAGATTGATAGTGGACATCTGTGAGTATTTGATTGCTTCCCTTTCTTTTGTTTGTTTTCCTTTTTAGCTACTGAGTATTTTGTGGGTTTTTTTGTTTTTGGTACCGGGGATCAAACTTGGGGCCTTGCTTGGCAGGCGCCAGAACCACTGAGCTAAATCCCTGGCCCACTACTCAGTATTTTAATTCCCTTCCTTTGGAAAAATTTCCTCATTTCTGCCATAGAGATATGACATTTGTATTTTTCTAATTTATGCTATGAAGAAGGTTTTGGTGTCACCAGGAATAAAAGAAAATTTCTTCAACTGATTAAGGATATCCAAGCTGGATGTGATGGCACATGCCTGTAATCCTAGCACTTGGGAGGCTGAGGCAGGAGGGTCACCATGAGTTCGAGGCCAGCCTGGACCACATAGTGAGGCCTTGTCTTTAAAAAAAAAAAAAAAAATTGTCCTCTGTGGCAGCACAGCATAGTGGCCAAACATGCAGACTCTAGCTAGGCTGCCTGGTAAATCTTAAACCATGTGCCTGAGTTACTTCATCTGTAAGATGAAGATAACAATCCCTAACTTGCTTGGACTGTCAAGGATGTTAAAATTCTTTGATCCAAGGTACCAGTGGACATACCAGTTCGCTAGATCTGCTAAAGCAGAATATCCGATCTGGGGATGGGGGAAATTTTCTCAAAATTTTTTGACCTCAAGGTTAACATCTGTATGCCAAGAATTCCGGGGGGCCAGGCCAGGCTTTCCGGCTTGGGTGAGGCCCATCTTCCGGCAGCTGGCGGAGTTCGTGGTGATTGTTGCTGCCACTGCTGGGGAGACTGCCATCTCCTCCTCCTGGGCCAGGCTCATCCCTTCCCCGCCTCCGCCACCTCCTGGGCTGGGCCCGCAGCGTCTCGTCCCCTTGCAGAGCCGCTTGTGTCACCGCTGCCAACTCCTCATTCATCCTTGTGCACCATAGGCGGCACAGGCACCAAGATGTCCAACCAAGTGGTCTGCCGGGAAGCCAGTCATGCCGGGCGCTGGTACACAGCCTCAGACTTGCTGTAGGATTCAAAAGAATTGGGATGACTGGATTTTCAACTACTGCTAACAGGCCCACCCCTGAATGCACAGCTAGAAGGTTGGCTTTCACAAGTACAATCTACAAAAAGACCTGCTAGAGCCATTATTGCACCCCATGCAGGATATACATACTGTGGGTCTGGTGCTGCCCATGCTTACAAACAAGTGTATCCATCTATTACCTGGAGAATTTTTATCCTCGGTCCTTCACATCACATGCCCCTCTCTCGAT